TACTTGAATTTCAAGTATATTTTTAATACATTTAATACTACGTCTTTTTCACCTGGGAGATCCCTAAACAAGATCATATCTGCTTGTAGAAGCATTTTTAAAATTTGAACTAGCACCTCATGACTACACCACGTTATTTATGAGAAGCTGCAAAAGACACAGGCACAAGTGGAATGTACAAAACATGGTGACATAAATTTTTAAGTAAATATAATGTGTGACATATTGCGTCACCAAAAATTATTGAGGTCATGTACATATATTGCGCGATAAGTCGATATATTGATTATTGTGACAGGCCTATTGAGGGCTTTTCTTACCAGCAGTATTGTCTGTAGTGAAACACATCACCGAATAATTCCCAAATAAATCTTATCATTTGGACATAGTAAGATTTGTTTTGGCGCTCTTCAGTTCTTTAATACGTAAATCTGCTTTCTGAAGTAAAATGACCTCTGGCCAACAAGGATAAACAGCCTTTTTGTGTGTTTTTGTGTGATTGAGCACCGTGGGGCACACGGGGGATATATTTTATGTGGAAACAGCCAGCTGATGTGGTCCTGTGACCAAAATCATATTTTTTTTTACTTTACCAGCTTTCTGAAATCATAAAATTTGTCTCTCTAACAAAGACAACACCAGAAGCGGTGTTATACGGATTGTTTACTTTAATTTTTTTGCAATGCAACAAGACATTATTCTGAAAAGAGCTTGTTTTCTAGAAGGTAAGAATCTGCTGCCTGCTTTGCTTTAATCTACTTTGCTACTTCTTGTTCTGATATGTTGTGATGTTGGAGAAACGAAAGCTCTCAAATTTAGAACTTAGGTTACTTTGTGTGCTTGTGTAAGAGAGAGTGATTTTGGACTTTTCGTTTTAACTTTGATGCTTGAACACGTAGTCCTTTTATTTATTTATGCTTTTTGTTTTTACTTTTATTTATTAATAAATAAACAAACAATAAACAGACGTTTTTATTAGTTACCAAATGGTAAAATTAGTGTCTTTGCAGTGCTGACGCATACTAGCATGCTCATCATTGCTGGGCAGTGCTTTACACACAATTCTTTGCTGGCCTTATAAAGTTTGTACTGTCTTTAAAAAAAAAAAGAGAGACTCAAATCATCTTCAGTTCTTCTGACACCTATTCTACACAATACTTCAGAAAAACCATAATGAAAGTGCAAGTGAAGACACAAAACAGGAAGTGAGGCAGTGTCAGAGCAAAGGTTTTTGAATATTCGCGTGAAGCTTATATGGGACAATTGTAACTGAAAATCTATATGAACTGCTTGCTATGATTAAACAATAACAATATTAACAATAATAATAATAATAATAATGTAATGTATGTACTGTAACAGATTTGATATAAAAAAAGTGTTTTTAATGTTTATTTTATTTTCACAGGAGATTGTGAACATCTACCCATCCATAAACCCCCCGACACTGACAGCACATCAGTCTAATATCCTAATGATTTTTGGCATAAAAGAAAAATCGATAATTTTTAACCATACAATGTATTTTTGGATATTGGTACAAATACTATTTTAATTACAATTCCATCCCTCCATCTAGTAATAATAACAACAACAATAAATAAAGTGTGTGTGTGTATATAATTACAATTTTATACTTAATTATGGCAATGTTTTAATTATTTATACATTATTTTGTCATTATATTATTTTATTTATAATTCATCCCTCTATCTAGTAGTAGTAGTATAATAATAATTAAGTATATATTAATAAACATATTATTAAATATTTATAATTTATTATAATATAATAATGTTAAAACTGTTTTATTTAAAATATAAATTTATTATATTAAATATTGAACTATAAATATTGAACTATAAATTGTATATATATTGTTTTATATATATTTTTATATGTATATTTGTTTTATATTATTAGCATCTCAGTCTAGTATTATTATTATTAAAGGAGTATATTTATATTTGAATAATCATATTAATACATTTAATATTTTATTATATTATAAATAGTTTAATCTGTTTTATTATTTCTAAATTTCTCTTTGTGTTATTTAATATTCTAATCCATCCGTTCCATCTAATACTGGTCTTTCTGTCCCTCTGCGCAGAAGTCTCAAGTCAGTGGTGAGGTGGCACCTCCAGCAGGTGATCTGTCAGAGGAGGTGGATGAAGCTCAGGTGAGTGGGGCTCCACCCTTGGGAGAAGAGGAAGGCTATGAGGCAGACAGTGAAAGTAACCCTGAGGACTCCACCCGTCAGGAGGAAGGTAGTACCACCCATTTATACTGACATGAGAGTCTGCATTGTGCTGGTCACTTGTTTAACTGTAGAGTGTATGTGCATATTATCTACAGCCAAAAGTATCTTGTGTAGTTTGTTAGTTTTAAAGGCTTGTTATTGTAATGTTAACATCCTGAAATGAAAGTGCAAAGTAATTATCATCACAGTTAGCCAGGCTGAAAAGTGCATAGTAACTGATAGCAGGGGGAATTTCTAGAATGATCTAGAATGCGGTAGCCGGTCTGAGCCGGTTAGTGTCAGGTAGGACGAGTGAAATTCTGGTCAAGCGGTACGTGATCCTGTTCTCTAGTCACATGCAGCGCTGGCTCTCTCGCCCTGAGAATGGTGTCATTGTTTCCTTCGGCTATGATGTAAGTCCACCGTGTTGAGCCGTGTCTTGTGACTGCAGCTTTTGACTAGTCTATTACGTACACAGATATGTGTGTGATTTTGTAAGATCACTCGCTTTTGCACGAGGGCCTGTAGTTGATCTAATTTATAATGGAGGGAACTGAAGGCAAAGCACAGTGTTTACTGACTTTTTTGTAAGCTAAAGCGCATAGCAACTAGCGACATTTTGGATAAACTTAAGCTTTCATTCAGTAGAATAATATCACCGGTTTCGCCCCGCGAGCGCGAGGTTTCGCCTTCCCGACGCAGCTCGTCTTTCTCGACCGGCAGAGTTTGCAGCACATTCAACGGACTGAACCGCAGCAGACTTGTGAATGAATGAGTGCAAATCAGCGTTTCCAAAAACCTATCACTGTTGATTGTCTGGGCATATGAACATGAATGTAGTCTAGGGCTGTGCAATTAATCGAAATTCAATTTCGATTTCTGCCTCCTACGATTATGAAAATACAATAATCGAGATAAAACGATTATTGCGTCCCATTCCGCCACCTTTCCAGCGGTGCTCTTTCGTTCCTCCATAAAAGCCCAATTTCACGTGCAAATCAGTAAAATCGTGTAACGAGACTTTTGCAAAACGGGACGTGCTTGATTTATTTAAGTTGATTAGATTTATTTATGTTTTTAAAAGTGTGAAAGAGAACTTGCGCTTCCTCGGGAAGATTAACGTTACTGTGCATGCGCTCAGAGACGGAACACAACACGTACATGTAAAGTCATCTTTTAGCGCCTAAACGGTCAAATACACACAAAAATGTGTCAGAATGCGGAGCTTAGTGATTATTCACGTAAACCCTCGTCGGTTATATAATAAATGAATGTAAAGAGTTGAGAATGAAAATACATGTGTAACAGTAAATTGGATCTAAGAAACAAAGAAAGTTTCATTCTTGCAGGGAAGACTAGTTTGTTTTATTTTACATTTGATTATTCATTTCTGTAGCAGGCTGTTAAATGCTTGAGAGTTGCATAAAAAACATTAAAGCAAAGTTTGTTTCATTAATTGGATATTTTTATTCTATTGTATTTGTCTTTACTTTTTTATTACTGGCAGTTTAATTATTTTCAATAATTTTGAGGACCTTTTTTGTTGTTGTTGTTGTTTTTTTTATAACTAATATTAGTTACTCTGGTATTCTGCTGCGGTATTGAGAATTGTGACATTTCGCTGGTCTCTAAAATGTATATGTCATAGCAACCTTATTTACAGAAAATATATATTTGATATATAACACTATCTTTAAATAAATCTATCATATAAAGTTTTGGTCATATGGCCCACTAATAATCGTTTTAAATAATCGTGATTACAGTATTGACCAAAATAATCGTGATTATGATTTTTGTCATAATCGAGCAGCCCTAATACATACTGTATATACTGTACATATACATATATTCATACATAATTCATCCTCTTTTCATCAACAAAAAAGATATATGTAACCAAAATTAAAAGTCAAAGGCAAATTAAGTAAATGTGTTTCAGTGCTTTAAATAAAATTGATATATAGAAGACAACTGCATTTAGCTGAAAGTAGCGTGTATGTGGCCAAAGAGAATGTCTTGTGGTTCATAATGTTTGTGTCAGTATATTATCTGAGAGAAAATTGTAGAGTTTCAATAAGCCAGTATGAGGAGTTGTGTGAAATGGGAGGCACTGAGAAAGTGTGTCCTTCAGGAACGGAGAGACGAATGTGTCGTCTGTGGATTAGACAGGAAGCTGTTGTTTGTGAACTGGGCCGTAGAGCAGGGTGAAGTGAATTAGATTGTGTGAGAGAGTTATTGCAATGTTTCTGGTAAACGTATTGTGTCATGTTGCTATCAGGACATTGTATCAATCACCATGACAACACTGTCAATCACCTGCCATCTCTGCACTGTCCTCACAGTGTCACCTTTGAACACACACACATGACTCTCTCCTTGAATATCTTGAGGGACACATAACTCTTCTCAAGGCTGGATATCAGATGGAGCAGGACAGAGTCACTATAAAGCACTTCTTCTTTTAACCTTCTTCATTCATTATTTTACTCCACTTTAATATCCAGCCTTGTTTTATTTTTATTTTTTTTTAATGTGTGAGCATCTGTTGTGTTTTTAAATAGATAGATGGATGGATAAGTGGACAAGTATAATGATAGATAGATAGATAGATAGATAGATGTTCATTTGCTATTACATTCAAACATGTCAAGTTAGGCATATTTTATGTCTTGCCCATCAATGGCTGACTTAATTGTATGGTCTTGACAGAAGGATAGAGAGGAAGGAAGGAAAAGAAACGAATAAAAAACAGCAATATTAGCTGAGTCAGCTGTAGGAAGTAGTGTGGGTAGATATCCTGTACACACCTCCTCACAGCGAGGAGAAAAGAACATGATGTCACTCTGAGAAGAATGAATGGGCTGACGTCACACATGCAACCCACCTGCTGAAGCGGCGTGTGTGTGTGTGTGTGTGTGTGTGTGTGAGAGTGAGAGTGATGAGACTCACTCCCCGGTGATATTGAAGAGGACGAGTGTGTGAGACTTGATGATGAGAAGATGTCATAGCAACCTTATTTACAGAAAATATATATTTGATATATAACACTATCTTTAAATAAATCTATCATATAAAGTTTTGGTCATATGGCCCACTAATAATCGTTTTAAATAATCGTGATTACAGTATTGACCAAAATAATCGTGATTATGATTTTTGTCATAATCGAGCAGCCCTAATGTAGTCTGTAAATATGCACATAGTTTGTTACACAGACGGACGTTTGTACTGCTTGATATATAAAATAAAGTAATATAATTCACTGCTGTATAACAGCATATTGCTGTTATAATTCAAGATTTTAGCAATTCAGTTGAAGTGACTGCAGGTTACATTGAAGTACTATTTCAGAAACAGAAAATATGTAAATGAGAACTGCTTTATTCGGCATTTAGTTATAAAAATGCAGTAACGTTACTGTATGTAACTGTTCAGAGAGTAAACACAAGTACGACTTGATGACGTCATGAATATGATAATTACATTTACATTTAGGTATTTAGCAGACGCTTTTATCCAAAGCGACTTACAAAGTAGGACAATAGAAGCAATTTTTTTTTTAAGTAAATAGAATAGAAAAAGAATAGAGAACGTTAGTGTTAAAGAATAATTAGCATATATAAAGTTGAATTGTTCTATAAAGTTATAAGCATGTTTATTAAAAACAAGTTTTGTAATAACAATTATTCTGGACCTTTTGACTTTGTTGAGAATTCAGATTCGGACCTTTGAATGTAAACTTTTAGAACCCCTGGTTTATCTATTGTTCCATTGTCTTTTTATCATTCTCTTTTTATCATTCTCTTTTTCTGTTTGTTATATCTTTCTGTTATCTATCTGTCTATCTGTCTGTCTGTCAGTCAGTCTGAGGGAGTGCTCTGTGTGCGCGTGTGTTTGTGTGTGTGTGAGGCAGAACTTCATTAATGAAAAGCACCCAGATCTTGCGTAGGAGCTGAAGGGTAGTCCACAGTTAAATCAAGTGGGTTCTCCGGTTTGTGGCACCTCCATCAGCTTAATTCATTTCACTGAGCTGGAGCTCTGAGCGCTGTGAGCAGCCTCTGTACATACAGTACTTGCTCTTCAGTCCTTCTGTATGTACTCTTGCAGCACCACCAATTATTATATTATTATTATTGTGTTGTTTATAGTCTGTCTTCTGTCTTCCTGTGACAGGGATAAAGGTGGAGGCTGGAGTCTCGTCGGGGGAATGTACGTTAGGAATGGCAGGAGTGCCTCAGGGCTCCGGCCGCGGCCATCTGCTGTTCCCGGAGATCTGCTTGATGGAGCTACAGCTGTTAGCCAGTGGCTCTCCAGACCTGGAGGTTTTGGGCCACGTTTTGCAGAGCCTGTTTGGAGCTGTGAAAGGCCACCACAACAACGCAGCGCTGCTCTACCAGCAGGTCAGACTCTTATCTCATGCCGAACTGATTTATTTATGTATGCGATTACATATTAATGCTACACAGCGACATATCTTATTCCAGAAGACCTTTTGTCTATGTTACCTACCTTCAATTGGTAGAAAGTTTTGTTCCAGTAACCAGTTGAAAGAGTATACTTGAAACCAAAGAATCTATGTAGCAGGAGCAATATGACCTTATGCAAACCTTTGAGAATTTGAGATTTTTTGTTATTTTAGCTCTAAAAGAAGAGTCTGGATTTTAAGCCTTGCAGCTGCATTTCGAAAGTTCTTTATGATTTTTATTGGAGACATCTTTATAGGTTTTATGAAGTATTGTGATTTATTGTTGCTTTGTACCCTTGTCAATAATGGTTTGCACTTTCTGGCGAGCTGGATTAAATCATCTTTACTGTATTTATGAAGAAATGTGATCCGTCATGCTCTTTTTCTCTTGTCAGGGTGGTGTGAAAGCTATTCTCACTGGATTTCAGAACATTCTCAGCCAATCAGATGCCTCCTATAAAGGTGTATATTATTTATACTTAAATTATGCACATTTCCTCTAATTATAATCACTGCAATGTGCCCAGATTTTTTGTCTTAATACTTTTGAGTTTAATCATAATTCGCATTATTCTCAAGGGGTTTCTTACAGTATTTTACTGTATTACACAAAAAATACTGCAATACAATGAATAAAAAATAAAGAAAAAACTCAAATTTAATGAAAGGCAGTACAACAAATAAAAATTATTTATACAGATTTTTTAAAATATACATATATTTCTTTTAATATTATATATTACTTAAATTAATATAATAAATATTATGTGAGAAATACAAATTTATTTTATAAAAATATTTATTATTTTATAAATATAAAGAATTTAGAAATAAATTCTTTATAAATATTTTTTTATGATTTTATATAGTTGAGATTATTGGGAAGTTAATGTTTTTGATAACGAGGGCACATGAATTAAAAAAAGTAATAGTGAGGTGCACAGATAAATTATTTATAGTACAATTTATAATAAATACTGCAATATTTCAAAAAAAAAAAAGAAAAGAAAGAAAGGAATTCTCCATTTTAATTTCATGGTGACTAAAAAAATTTTGTTTTGCTGATCATGCCAAGTCATGTTAATTAGCCTTAAACATTGGTCTAATTGCTCTATGCAGAGTGCCAGACAATACTGATGGAGCTGCTTGTTGCCATGGTGAGTGACAGGATGACATCGGAGGAACTCGCCCTGTTGACACGCCTCTTCCTGGAGAAGACTCCGCCCACTGTAAGTGCAACCTCACATAGCATTTAAATTAGGTATTGTGGGCCAAAAACACTACATCAACCCTTCCCACTTTCCAGAGTAAAGGAAAGGGTTTGAAATTACACAATGCAAATGTGATCAGTGTGATCAAACACCCTAGAAACAGGTTTATTTTTAACACAGTGCCAGAAAGTGGACATGCTGATGCAGAATGTGCTTTTACTAATGCCAACCTTTGGTGTGTCAACGCTGATAGAAATTCATTATCTTTCTCTTTGTTCAAGTTTTTCTTTAAGCAGCTCGCCAGTTTTTGATTGCCAGTCCTCCTCTGCTATTGCCTCAATATTTTGTGGCTTTGGCATACTATAGATTGAAGATGCAGAATAAATCTACATATAAAGCTCAGTGATCACCTAGTCACTTGTGGGAAATCTAGCTGGCTAGTTGTTTATCCTGCCCCTTTCCTTGTATATTCAACATTTAACATACTGCATTTTGTGTTTTCTTAATTTATGCTTAACTGCTGTATCGAATCATTGTATTTTCTGGACTTTTTTTGGCATCTACTGTATGCCATCCATGGAGTATCGCTAATGGCCCTGTGAAATGTGCTTTTCACACCATCGTGTAAATGAAGCTCCATATGGAGTCATAAGTCAGAGTCTCTACCTCAGAAACACACGCAGTCTTTAGTGCTCATAACAGCATTAGTGCACTTTCATTGTACCAGGCGACTGAAACAGACTTCCCCAGTGTGTGAATTTCACAAAACCTGTCAATAGGTCATATTTGTGAAGATTGAATTGTTGAGCAGCACATTTTAGTGTGGACTGCTGTTCGAGTTCTGCTCACCAAGGCTACATTTATTTGATTAAAAATACAGTAAAACCAGTAATAGTGTGAAATATTTTTACTATCTAAAATAACTACTTATTATTTGAATATATTCTAAAATGTAATTTATTCCTGTGATATAAAGGTGAATTTTCAACATCATTACTCCAGTCTCCAGTGTCACATGATCCTTCAGAAATCATTCTAATATGCTGATTTGCTGCCCAATATACAGTGTATATATATATATATATATATATATACATTTTATATATATATATATATATATATATATATATATTAGGGTTGTCAGTCGAGTCAAATATTTAATCATGATTAATCGCATGATCGTCATGAGTTAACTCGTGATTAATCACAACTTAATCACACATTTTTATCTGTTCTGAATGTATCTTAAATAAATACTAAGTTTTTAATTAATACTCTAATCAACATGGGCATGGACAAATAAGGTGTTTATTATTAGTGAAACCATAGTCAACATAGAGCATGAAGACTAGACATGTTTCAAAGGTCATAGATGTTTTTCAAAGAACTTGTTCATGTCTATTAGACACATGAAAAAAGAACATAGAAATACCAGGCTCCCATTACTTCTCTTTCTTTGCACTGAGCAATTAATTTACTTACACAAGCCCGTTTACATTATTTGCAGGAAAGGGCAGCTCACTTCTTCTGAACATGCAAAATGTACATTTATTATTTATTATTACATTTGTTTGCCTCTCTGTGCCCACATACTGTATTTTGATGCAGCTAAATTCTCAATAAAACTGTTTTCATTGATATATTTTACTGTTTCTGTTGTCAGACAACCGAATTAATATGAAATAGTGAGTCAAACGCAAGCCGTTAAGACTACATAGCTCTCCCTTCCAAGATGTTAATCTGAAAAAGAATCCTGATTTATAATCGAGCCGTCGTCTGACAAAATCAAATAGGCTACACATAAGATAAAGACGATCGCTGTGCTGTGATTTTGGCTATACTTGTATGTAAAATTAGAAAAACAACATAATGTCTGTTTTAACTGAAAGCGCTGCTCCTCTCAGCCGCTTGCTGAACAGAGCAGACGCAGAGAAAGAGGTGCGTGCGCAGCGAGAAAGAGAGACTTTGCGCTCGCGCGGCAGTACCGGAGAGTCTCAGAAACTAAATAAGGTTTGGGCAAACCCTAAAGATTTGTCGCTAGGTGCTTTTTGAAAAAAAAGAAAAAGAAAAAAAAAACACTAAAGGGGTCTGTAAATTCACTAAATCTAGCAACAAAGTCACAACAGGTCAAACAGAAAATGCGCGCTGCGTTAATCGCGCGTTAATAAACTTAGTGCCGTTAAAATTAATTTGTGTTAACGCGTTATTAATGCGTTATTTGTTAATATTTGTGGAGAAAAAAAAAAAA